TTTGGTTTTCTGGCAGATTACTTACTGAAATGGTTTGAAGCAAACTAACAATCTCATACTGAGTATTTTTCTTAAGAGGCACTGTGAGTAGGAAAGTTTGGTTGACAGTTAATGTTTGCCAAATTCTTCAGCTAACTGTCAGACCAAAAACTATTTATAGCAGCTGCTTGTTCTAATTTTTTTAACTTAAATTCATCTAAGAAATCTGAGATGAGATCGGGAGAGCGGTATACAGTCTCAGGAAAGCATCAGTTGAAAAGTAAGGGTCAGGAAAAATCTGGGAATTGTCAGATGAGAAAGTCCATTTTCAATCTCTCCTTACTTCTGTGATTACCTTGACAGGTAATCTAGCTCTTCCAGGTGCAGAAGTGCAGTTTGAAGTGGATTTCTGTTTGTTTATTTTAGCTTATCAAAGAGACTTTCTAAGGGAGCATTTGTAAATTTGGCAGATGTACAGGGCTGTAGTTCCTGCTTCAGTGTTGTAGCGCCAAGCAATAAATTATTCTGTCATCTTTAAACAAGGAAAACTTTATGCTTATGTTATTTCAAAACATTGTTGCTCTTTTGCAACTGTGTAGTGTTCCAGTGACTGCTGCTGTTTATCCAAACCTTGCTTTCTAGATTTTGCAGGAACAAATTCCATTTTTGAGAGGTCTTCTGGTTTCACATAGGAACTATTTTCTATGGATATAAATAAAACCATAATGGAAGATTCAGGGACTGACTGCAAAACCAAGCTAATTATCTAAGATCGACAGTTTTGATTCCTAAACACCACAATACCAGAGGAATCACAAGCTGTGTATTAGGGAAGGATGGGTAGAAGATGAAGGAGGTAGTGACTGATAGATGGTAATGCTAAGATATGAAGAATAAAAATTATTTCTTACTGATGGAGAGATTCTTTCTAATGCATGCTGTCATTCACACTTCTGGTCAGAAAGGCACCTTACATGTGAATATAGTACTTCTCACAAGAGTGTTCCCATCCTGATACTGCACTCATTCATGCTTTCTTTGAAGTCTAATTTTTAATATTCCTTTTGGTTTTTATTTGCGTTCCTCTTCAGGTAGTTAGGTCTTAAATCATAGGGATTACAGTTGTATCAGAATTTCACTGACTGTAACATGTGAGGGTCTTTGAGTTGTATTTGTTGTTCAATTCCGTTTTTTACATGCAGAGAGAATGTTTTTTTTTTTTTTTCTTTGTTTTATTTTGTTCTCCCCCTCATTGGTACTTTCCCATTACTATATTGTTCTTGAAGTGTGGTAGATTTTCCTAACACACAAAGATTTTAGCTGACCACAACTATCGATGAGAAATAACTTCTCTTACAGAAACAAATAAGTAATTAGATGTCACCTGTTATATCATGGAGAAAAATATTCTTATCATCACTAATGCAAAGCAAGCATTAACGCTGTAATCACTACTAACCACTGTTACCAATAACTGTGTAATTATTTATTGCTGCTTATCCCATTATAAAAATAGCAGTTTATGTACAAATGAGATAATATAAAATATCACTGTATTTTCAAGAAATATTACCGTAGAGCCAATCTTGTTATTTTTTTTTGCATTCAGAAGTCTTGTATTTGTTAGGTGGTCATATTCCCTAAATTGCTTTGCTTCAAGAAATAAGTGTGTATCTATCCATAACCTTTTTTCTACCAGTGTTTTGGCAAGAGCAGAACAATTCAGAGTTAAGAGTTGCTTGAACAATGTAAGAAAGGTTAGCTCTCAACAAATACTAATTTTAACTTTATTTTAGAATTTATGAGAGCTAAGCTAGTCCAATTCATACTTAAATGAACTTACTATGAAAATACTTACAGGCATTAAACTTTTAAAAATAATTCAAAATATTTATGATTTGTGCAGGAACATGAGTGCTATTTGGACAGACTTCAGATGTGTAAATCCAAGTCAGGACTGCACAGAGCCTGTTAGTTGCTATACTTCATAGTTGCGCAGACATGCCTGACCTAGCTTTAGGCTAACTGGTTAAGTGTTCACCTGGCTGCTTAAGTGAGCTTTGCAGACAGCACTGAGCTCACCACTCCTGCAGCTTGGCATCTCTTGAACTGTTTGACATTTGAAGACAAATTTCACTTGGATGTCATTGCAATGTGATCGTCACAAGGTTGACTGGAATATAAACACATCTGCCTCAAAGACATGGCATTTGGATCAGATGGGGACTACTAGCTAAATATTGGCAAGACCTCAGTTTTGTTTGCAGATATTTTGATTGGCTAGAAAAATCCCCTTCTCAGTTAAAATCAGCGTGTTTGAAAATGGAATGATTGTGATGAGCAGTTAGCTAACCTTAAATAGCACTGTTTAGCAGCCTCACAGTGCAATCATTTGTATGTTCTTTCATTGTCTTTCAGGGAAAGTTAACTACCATATATCAAAAACCAATTGAAAGAACTTTGAGAATGTCGATATATTTGTTGACAACCTTTAATTGCTCTCCGGCATGTGATATACGTATGGTTCTATTAGTAATTTTTCTGAGCTCCTGAGACAGTTCTCCAGAACTATTCTGGACTGAAGCCAATATCAAAATGGTCCTAGAGCATGGGATCCATCTGCAATCTTGCTGTTGATTTTAGTGAGGTATTAACGCTATGGTTTATCAACCAAGACCAAGAGGGCTGGTTCAGTGCAAGAAAAAAGGCTCCATCTGCAGCTCTTACTACACTGCACAGTGCAGGGCTTAATCAGACCCTGAACTGAGCATTCAGAACTATATGTAGAATATAGAAAAATAGGCCTCAAAACAACTGATCATGTAATTATTTCTTTATTCTCATACAATTCCATTTATTTTTGAAGGCAAGTACAGGAAGAGTAACTTCTAAGCATAAGTCTGATTACTTTTAGACTCAGTTGTTTTCTTAGTACGTTTTGAGTGAAGTAATCCTTAAAATCTTTGCCTCATTACTGTTTTTATTTTGAATTAAAATCCCATCTAAGTGTAATGCTTGCACCTGATGGTTCTTCAACTATCTGTTTATATCCACGAGAGTCTGTGTGCAACAAGAACTGTACTTTTCTTTCTGTTCCAGAATCTGGAGATGTACTTGACATGCAGTTGTACTACAATTTTATTTTTCTGACTGACCAGGAAAACAAAATATCATTCAAAGAAACTTGCATTTTTTTCTTGTTGTGGGAATATAATAGCTTACATGAATTTTGATTTTTTTTTTTTTTAATTTTTTTTTTTTCCTGGGAATTTTTGAGATTAGATGCTGATTTTGTCTGGGATATGAAGTGGCTGCAGTTTAGTTTTCTTTTGCTCAGAGGTTAGACTTTTGTTATATGTAAGACCAAATTCTCTTTAGTATCAATGGAACTTTTTTTTTTTTTTTTTTTTTTTCTCACCACGAGGACAACTTGGCCCAGCATATTCAGGAGGAATTATCATTTCATAATCTATTTATATATTTAACCCTAGTGATTGAACAAAGATGGGTTTTAAGCATTGTGTTCTGGTCCTGACCTTTGTCCCTGATCCTACCAAGATCCAGTTGCATGCCTGTGTGCATCACTGCATCTAGTCTCATTAGTGTTTACCAGAACTTCTTGGTGTTGAACTTCTATCTGGATGCATTCCTAAGTCCTAACAAGATCAGAGCCTTTTATTCAGTGTATGTTATCTTGGTAAAAGAGCGAGCTGCAGTTCCCTGCCATTAGCAGTTCCTATGTAGCAACATTTATTGCTGCATTTTGAGGTGTCTCATTACCAGAAGCTGCTAGACTCCTATTTAGTTATTAACTGGGTACAATTAGAATTGCATTAATCAGTTGTGCTTGTTCAGCTGAGTGGCTGAGTTCAGATTTTCTTTTGCTGAAGGGAAGATCTGAGTTTATAAGCCAGTACTGCAGACAATTTTAAACCATGACCTTAAAACAGGTCCCTAATATCCTGTCAATATGCAGTCCACAACTTGTGCGGTGCTTCATGAATTACAGAGAATGGTTATTATCTGTGATGACTATTTGTGCCCATTTTAAGTTTCTTTAAATTTATTTATTTTTAAAACATTAGATGTAGTCTTCGTGAGGAGGGGAATATATCCCCAAGTCTTAAATGACAAGCCAGTTTGCCCATATATAGTTTTTTTTTAGAATCGTGGAGCTTTCTGGATACTTAAAACTACTCAGCATCTCATTGTTAGTCTGAAATTTGAGAATAGAGGCAAAAATTATTCATCTTTATATGTGGAGATTCCCATCTTCAGTTTTGTGTCCAATGGCTTCATAAGCTTTAGACAAAGCAACTGTTCTGTAGGTATTTTGACACTAAAGATGCGAAAAGGAATCTAAATTCTCAAGGCCTAAAGTAAAGAGATCTTGTCCTGACCTACTTGATGTCTTTGAATTAAACTCTGGAAGTCTGAAAACATGGAATGCCTTGTGAAAAACATGAGTTGATTTAAGCAGATGAAATTCAAAGGGCATTAGATGAATGAGTGCAAAGGCAATGTGAGCTGGAGGGAAAGAGTCTAAACTGAAAGGAGGAAAGTTGCTAAGGTTTAGTGAAATGGATTTTATTCAGAGCTAATAAGATGAGAAAATCTAGAAAGATTTTTCTGTTATGGAACAAGCATGCCATACGTGAATATTGAGGAAATGGAAGAAGATGTATGACTGATGTGAAACTAGAAATAGTGCAGTATCTCGAATTTTGAGTTTGAGCCTCTGTGTTTGGCAATTAAAATTTTCTTTAACAAATTGCCACTGAGGTGAATTGTGATCATGATGATAATGTGCTGCGAGCTGTAACTTGTGGCAGTTTTTATTGGGGAGGAAGGAAAGAATGTTGTGTTCATTAAAAATACATAACCTTGCTTCTCAGTAGTTCCTGATTTTAGCTGCAGAATAAACCTTATGATAATTGTGGGAGAAAATGTTTAAAGTGATTGCTTATGTTTTCTGATAAATAAAAAGAATACTAAATGATTTTATTTTTTTTTCTCCACAGTAAAACCAACAGTTATTGATGTTGACATTTATGTCAACAGCATTGGTCCTGTATCATCAATAAATATGGTAAGTGCCTTGCTAACAAAGGTTTTTATCTGGACTGTTTGTCTTGGCATCAATGCTAGCTTTTGAAAAAGATAATAAATACTACTGGGATAAGTTACATTTATTGCTGATTTAGTTCTGTTTTCAGCTTTTAGCACTGTTTTTTCAGATGACTCTTCTGTATTTCTTCAATACTTCTTCTTTCACGGCCTCTTCTCTCGTGTCACTAGTGATAGGACCAGAGGGAATGGTTTCAAGCTACGGCAGGGGAGATTCAGGCTGGACATTAGGAAGTATTACTTTTCAGAAAGGGTGGTCAGGCACTGGAATGGACTGCCCAGGGAGGTGGTGGAGTCACCGACCCTGGGGGTGTTCAAGGAAAGGCTGGATGTTGTGTTGAGGGACATGGTTTAGTGGGAGCTATTGGTAATAGGTGAACGGTTGGACTGGATGATCTTTTAGGTCTTTTCCAACCTTGGTGATTCTATGATTCTATGATTCAAGGGACAAATACTCAAGTAATATTGTGCTCTGTGTTGTCTACCATAAAATGCTGGTAGATCTTGATTGGTGAAGTAGTAGTCACAGGGAAAAATAAGTGTAAAAGAAAGCTACTGTCAAGAAAATTCTTGAGTTGCTTTTTCAAGAGTCAGTCAAATATACAGAGCATCACAGTACAGCATTAAAAGAGCCACCATGTGTTATCAGTGTATTGATTTTAAATCCATCACTTCTTCAGTTGTCACTTTCTGTTCACAAAATTATCAACAATATTTAACCTTACGCTATAATTTTGAAGGGATTATCCATAGCTGTACTGCATGTGTAGAGACTGGAAAAACTGAAAAGTTTGCTTAATACTGTGATGATGGTTGATCAATTATTGTGGTCTTATTAACTCCAAGACATTCCTAGTTCTGCAGCAACACATTCAGAATTAGAAAGAAGGCTGAATGTTTATCTAGCTGTAGGGATGTGAGTTACTGTGAGTCCTCAATGCAATTTCTGCTCAGAATTCAGTGCAGTATGCTTTGTAAACTAGTTTGGTCTTTATTTTGATAGAATTTGGAAATGGAGAATCTGAAAATATGCTTGTTAATGTCTTTATTTATTAGTAAAGCTCTTATACCAACTCATCAAAGCAGTGGCTTAGTGATGTCTGTGTTGATAGCCAAAGACCGGTGGGTAAAATGGTGATAGATGGATCCAATACTTGTGCTGCATGTGCATCTTGTATTTTTGGAAAAAATGCTTTTGAATTTGAAGTTTGACCACTCAGGCTGATTGTTATTGCCTATGTATATAGAAGAATGCAAATTTTTTGCAGCATATCAAACACTGGCTGAGGAAAGACTCCTCTTGCCTCTGGAAATGGGAATTCTGGCAAGTAAAGACAGAACAAACCATGTGCAAGGAACAACCTGGGCATGTATGCAAAGAGTAAGAAATATATTATCCATATTTCTTTATGTGAAGCACTAAATGCCAAGCAGTGGCAGTACCTGCTTCATTCTTGAATTGATAAATAGGTAACTATCTTGCTTTTCTCCAGCTGTGTACCAAAGAAAGACTTATGTGAAGAACTATTGTGTTTGTGGCTTCCATTTGCGTGGGTACTCAGTTCAAAAGCAATAGGGACAATGGCGAAGATGCTTACAGTTCCTCTTTTGTTTATTTGAACTACCTTTTACCTAGTATTTTGTGATGCAAGAAATGAATGTGAAATACTAATTAAAATGGCATTTGATAGGAATTGCTTCAGGTAGGAAGATGGAAAAAGTAATAGAAACAACCAGTTGTTCTTGGAAGATGATTATGATGGTGCAGTCAAAACATGAGTAGATTTTATTGATTGGCACCAAGATGAAAAAATGCAATGAAATGTCAACGAAAGGAATGCAGATTTTATCTTTTTGGTAGTCAGTGTTCTTAATGGGATAGTCAATAACACTTTAATGTTGGAATATTTATTGGTTAAAGCTGAAAAATGTTAGAATAGCTGTAAGGGAAAGAGAGTAAATAGAATAATGATGAATGAAAATAAAAAAAAACATTTCATAGTTTTAAGAATTCAAATCTGCTTAAAGCTTGTATTTAAATTGCATGGAAATGTACTGAACTGTAGAAGTGGTCCTAGTTTGTGGACAGTATATGTCACTGGAAATGAACATGAACTAGCTAAGCACTTTTGAACTTCACTTCAAATCTGTTGTCAAATCTGATTATTGATGAAGGAGCTTAATGTTAGGCACATAAATATAGCAAACTTTTGTCCAAAGGCTCAATTTGTACTCTTTTTCCTCAGAGTTTATTGAAACTTACATGAGAGAAATGAGCTTTCAGTCTCAAACTTATCATGAATATGGGAAATTGTGTTCACAAATGTAAAGTTATGGTGCTGAATGATGACTTGTCTCTTCAGTGACAGAACTGCTCTGAGGAGTTGCTCTGAGAACTGCTCTGAGGAGCTGCTCTCATCCTTACTTACCAATTTTAACTGCTTAGCTACAGTATGCTCTTTTATAAAATATAGTGGAGGAAAAAAAAAAAAAAGACAAAAAATAATCCACATGGTATTTGGAACTAAAAATTCAAGTTTTCATTTATTTTTATCTAAAGCTGTGTTTCATATAACCTGTGAAACAGTGGATCATGGATGCGCAAACAGTTAAACAGAAACAGTAGCTGATAGTTACCTGTATCAGCAGAAGAGGAAGGCAGTGACCATCTTCAGTCTGATTCTTGTCACGTAACTGAACTCTCAAAGGGAGAGGAATTCTATACAGAATTTAGAACAGTATTCTGGGAATTGGGGAAAAAAAAAACAAAAACAAAAAAAGAAACTATGTATAGACTTCCCTCTATATTTCTCTATACTTTCTCAGCAGGACAGGAACTTTTTGCTTTTCTCCCCTAAATTGTTATTAAAAGTTGAGCTATTTTGTCGGAGTAACTCAGCACGTTGTGGCTGATTGAGAGAAAAAAAAAAAAAAAAAAAAAAGATGATTACATTGGTTTCCATCTCCTCTATTTCGAGAGAGAGATCATCAACATGTACAAGGAGGACTTCCCTGCTGTGTATGTACTTCCAAACTTAGCCCTTGGCTCTATCACTTTTTTCTTAATCTGCTGTACTTCTGAAGGAATCCAGAGGTCTAACTCTGCAGGTGTATTTTCTTATCAATTTTCATCAGTACTTTTAATCCTGTGGGTGAAACCTAGAAAGTAAAATCATTTTCCTTAAGTGTGTTCATTCAGTGTGTGTTCGATTGAATGTTCAAGTCAGTTTTGTAGAGTAGACCTTTAAAGTTGCCAGTTATTTTGCTGTAATAAGAATTAGACTTGGGTATCGATTATTAATATATCACTGTTACTTTAATTGTCAGGAAAAGGATAGTTGATCCCAGACACTCAACTACAGCAATGTCACAGATAAATTGTATCTGAATACTTGTGTCCCTGACATAAAAGAAATCTTAGAGTGAGATCAGAAGTGTCACAAGGGGAATAAATGTTGGGGATCACTTTAAAAAGGCTTGCAATCAAGGTAATGTTCTCTGTGCCAATGATGACATGGTCCACAGGAATATACAGCTGACTCTGCTTTTTGGGGACTCAAATGAGTATTTGCTGAGGGTTTATGCTGTTTCACAAAGGCCTCAACAGTGAGCAATTCTCCAGTTGCTTCAAAAAATAGCTTTTTGGAATCTCAAGTTCACCAGGGGAAAAAGAAAAAAAGAAAAAAAAAAAAAAAAACCAGAAAAAAAAAAAAAACCACCACACACACACAAAAAACCAACTGATTGCTGATTGTAGCAAGTTAATACAAGTGGTCTTCTACTAGAAATTCATAGTTTATAGCATCTTTATGATGACAAAAGAAACTGCTTTTCTGAACAGATAGTGGACACTCTTATTTTGCCTGTGGCATGAAAGATTTCTCTGAGATGTTTGAATGTCCACTATAGTTTTCAAGGTGGGTTTCTAACAGATAAAAGCCATCCACTGTTTAAATATCCCAATACCTGTCCCTATATATGTATAAAATATATATTATATATACATTAATATATATATTTAAAAAAAAGTTTAGACTGATCTAAAAGAAGCATTTAAAAGAAGCATTGAAGCAAAAAGATTGTTGTGAATGACACATGAATGTTTAAAGCCAATTCAGTCCTTCCCATGTTCATATTTTATCCCTTTATTCTGGTTTTCATCTCTTTTTAAAGTGAGTTACAGAAGTCTGCTAGTTGTCATTTTGTGTCATTTGTCAAACATTATAATGTTGCTAGAGACACAGATTTGTAGGATACAATATTCATATCTATTGCAATCATTTACACTTTTTGGTATTTAAAAATACATCTATAAATATAATGAACATACTTCCACTGCTAGTATGGATTTCCTAAATCATGTTTTTAAATTTGAAAATTCATCTGAAATCTTGGTTTTGTTTTTTCTCTATGCTTTATATTTTGAAATAAGTGTATGAATTCGAGGTCACTCTATTTTTAAACTTAATATCATTTTATTTAACACAGTATTATTTGACACAATTCAAAATTATGTCCAGGAAGCATATGCTGTTAGATTAGAATTCATGCTCCAGTTCTTGTCAACAATCCAATTTTTGTCAACAACAGGAAGTGTTTTGGAAGTTGTTTCATAAAACAAGATATTAGCATTGCTCCCTGCAACCTCTTTTTTTTTTTTTTTTTTTTTTTTTCCTACAGAAGTTGAAACTGTGTGTAAAAGAAAAAGGAGAGAGACCATGTCAGTATACAAAGCGGGAATCGAATGCAAATGATGGGGAAAAGTAGTCCCTCATGAGCAGTTTTGTTGAACAGAAATGTAAACATGCTCAGATTACACAGACTATTCAATCTCAATAGGATGAAAATGTGTGTGTACATACCTGTATTTTGTTTTATGTTTCTAAATGAGTAGCTATGGGAACCTGAAATTGAAGTGCAAACTGGTGGTGAGGGCAGAAACTTGAGTTTTAGCAAATGGAA